AGGAGGGTGGGGGAAATTCTTTCGAATCTGCCCGACAAAGAGGATGGAAGAGGCTATATGGAATTTCTGCCTGGGAAGTTATTTGCAGAGGGAGAGCGGGGAAGGCAAAGGGCCGTATTCAAAACTGGCCTGCTTAATCATGTAAGACGGGATTCCTTTCCACACCAGTGGCAGCCAAAGCTTTTTTGCCGCCTGAGGCAGGAGGAGAAACCCTCTTCTTCCTCTGTATTTTGTTGCCTTCCTGCTCTTTACCAACACACGAAAAAACAGCATGGGGCTAATTCCATCGTCACTCACTGCATAATTTTAGAGTTGAAAGTTCACCAGTTAAATCAGTGTACTACCCCCTCGTTCTCTTGGATATATTTTGTTTATTTAAAATATTTTTACCCTGCCTTTGTCGAAGGACAGTGAAGATGGGGCAGTTATATATGGAATTTTAGTGATCGTGCTGGTCCTACCCTATCTTGTGGCTTCAAGGATGAGAAATGCCGCTGGATTTCTGCACAAAATAAAAGTGGTGCAGAATTTTTAGAGGTAGTTGATTTGGACTTATCCCTCTTCTCAGGCTTATTTCCCCATTTCCTTCCCTGCCCCCATGAATGGAATGAAGCCCAGATGTCCTGAATCCCCAGACCTGAAGTTAAAGCTTATATTGTCTATATGAGCTGACTGAATGGCTAATTCAGTGAGTTACGTCTCTGGCTGCAGAGCCAGAGGTTGGGGGTTCAATTTCCCCCACTGGGTCTTTCAGGAGAAGAGCCAGCCTGGGTGGCCTTGGGCCAGCTGCACACCGTCCCAGGGCTCCCCCTAGAGGAAGGGAAGGGTAAACCACTTCGGATTATTTCCTTCCTGGAAAAACCCAAACAAGGGCCGCCGTAAGTCAGAATCGACTTGATGGCAATGCAGTTATTAATGTACTATAGTGTCTGTGTTGCAAAAAAGTAGCCGGCAGGTGACTAAGGGAGGTTGTTCTCCCAAATCTGATTTCTGAGTCATTTTCACATTGGCTGTGCTCCAGACTACCCCCACCACCCGGTAAATGAACACACACATACACACTGTTGTTTCCTGGTCTCATTTGACCAGCCTGCCCTTTTCTCCTGCTGCTTTCTGGTTCCTCTATCCTGCTGTTGTGTTCTCACTGGCAACTGCAGGAAGTGGCCAACTCTGGTGTTATCAAGCTTGCAGATTTGGGCTTATTATTGTTGTTGTTGTTATTTATTTATTTATTTATTTATTTAAATTAGATTTATACCCCGCGCATCTAGACCAAAGTCTGCTCTGGGCAGCTAACAATAAAAAATGGAATAAAAACAATATAATAAAGTAAAAAAAAAGCACAATAGTAATGTTACCACCAGTTAGAGCTGTTTTGTACCCCCAGTGAGCTACATTCTTTTATTTCCAGTTAGAGCATCTTCTAGAAGGAATGCAAAAATAAGTGGATCATGGGCATAAAGATAATTGGGAAGTGTGCCTTTTAACTAGAGGCAAAAAGAGGTTAGGGCTTCTATACCTTTTGTATAGAATAGGACTTTTGCAGAAGTCACTCCTGCTAAAATTCCCTTTTCCAGGCAGCTGTTAAAGGCGCAAGAGCCCTGTGTCTCTTGTTTCTGTGGCCACATAACGACGTGGGAATCCTATCCTGTTATCGCTAGGGTTTGCCCCACTCGGTCTGGTCTGCCCTGTGGTGCTGAAAGGAAAGGCACTCGAGGGTGGCCCAGGGAACAGGATCCCCTTCCCTGAGAGTTTGGGTCAAAATCTTCGTCTCTGGGGTCGGTCCCGGTTGCTAACGGGAGTGGCCACCGACCAGAGTTGCAGAAACGTGCCAAGGGATGTACGATATATGTGGGAAAAGAAGCCTGACCCCGTTGGTTGGGTTTGAGTCGGGCTGCCTCGAAAGGCACCGGAGCAGGACTCGGTGGGGAACATGGCCAACCTTGGCTTTTCTCTCCCTTGCAGGGGAAATCTCGAAGACTTGTGTCTTTCCGCACCTGAGGGAGAACCATCAGCTCATCTTTTAAGGCAGAAAGGGGTGTTTCCGGTTCTTCTTTCTAACCTAAACACAACTTTTAAGATGTCCCCGTTCCAATGGGGCATGTTGTATTACGCCCCAAAGTTTGGGGTCAGGATGATAATGAATTATAGCAGTGCTCCATACAGCCTCTCCTTCCCCTGATGTTGCTGGACTACAATCCCCAGAAGCCCTAGCTAGCTCAGCCAGTGGCCAAGGCTTCTGGGAACTGTAGTCCAAGAGCATTTAGGTGTTTCCCTCCCCCTCCCCCCAGACTTAGAAGTTGCTATTTAGGAATTACTGAGGACTGGCCCCAACATTTTACACCAGAATGGGCAGCTCTTGCCATTTATATATCTGTTTCACCTTGTAAACAGCATACTTTCCCCCAGAGCAACTGTGGAAGGCGGAAGCCAAAACATTTGGCTGAAACACTTTTTGTGTGTGTTAGTATTTATTTATTTGCTTTCTCTGCCGCCTGACTGACTGATGAAGAGCTTGAGGCAGTCTCCCTCATGAAATGCGAAGGACCAAAGGCCTCACCCTTCCCACCAAACCTCCTCCTCATCAGTAACAAAATAAATTAAATAAATAAACAAACGGACCTAATAACCACAAAATATCCATATGTCCACAGCCAAGGAGATACATTTTTAATTACATGCTTTCAGTGGAAGAACTGTGTCCTTCAGGGAATCAGGAAAAATCTTGACAGTGATGCTGTTGATTTAAATTTATATTACTGGGCCTATAGGCTAGAAGACAGGGAAGGTGAATTAAGGAGAGGCGGCTGAGGCGGCTGAGGGGCACCCACCCTTGCAAGAAGGGGGTTCTTCGAGGAAAGCAAAGGGAGGGGAAGCCATTTTGGGGTCCCTGTTTTAGTCATTAGGGGGCTGTTATTCTTCGACCGGAAGCAGAGAAGGGGTGGACGCAAATGGTCCACTTCTGCGGCCAAAACACCAGGGTCTGGCCTCACAGCGTCCATTTCATGACCTAAACTTCATTTCAATCTGTGGAGTTGGGCAAAAAAGCCTGAAATTGCAAACATGAATGGCTTTTTTGCCCAAGCCCACAGATTGAAATGAAGTTTAGGTCATGAAATGGACGCTGTGAGGCCAGACCCTGGTGTTTTGGCCGCAGAAGTGGACCATTTGCGTCCACCCCTTCTCTGCTTCCGGTCGAAGAATAACAGCCTCCCCCCTAACGACTAAAACACAGGCCCCCAAAATGGCTTCCCTTGCGTTTGCTTTCCTCGAGGAACCCCCTTCTTGCAAAAATGGGTTGAAGCATGTAAGGAAACCAGGGAGGCGTTGGAAGCCCACGGTTGCAAAACGCAGAACGGATGATTGTCATTATTTTTAATGTCGTTCCTCGCTTTCCCTCTCTTTTTGCCTGCTAGTCGCTGAACAAAGCCACGCTTTGAAAGGGAAAATGGGAGTGGAAGCCAGAAACTATTTTTTTGCCCCCCACAGATACGTAAATGGAAGCGAGCAACTGGAAAAAAATTTTGTGATAATTACGTGGCAAAGCCATTCCCTCGTTTCTTTTCTAAATAAAGAGGTTTTAAATTTTACAAAAGGCCACCGTGTTCGTCTATGCCAGAGTGCCGGGCAAAACTCCAATCCCAAAATAAAATAAAAATTAAAAAGATAAAAACCTTGTGGCACCTTAAAGGGTTTATTTTTGATACCTTTGTGTGTGCGCGCACATTGTTCTCCTGCAAAATAATGTGAAAGAAATCCCCCATCTAAAAAAAGATATATTTTTTTGTTCAGGATTCGGCCACATGCCCATTGAGAATATTAGGCTTATCCTTGTTCCTATAAGTGTGCGTAATTGTTATGTTGGATTGGCCTCAGGTTGACCCTCAGAACTCCATGGGGTCATTTAGGCCAGTTAACTAGCCATCCAGTGACTTTCATGGCCACGTGGGAATGTGAAGTCAGGTCTGTGGCTTTTCCACGAAACAATATTTGCATTTATTAAAATTGCAGTCTCGGTTTCATCATTTCCTTGCCTCCTGAAATAGTTCAGGGTAAGGCTTAATTTGCTCTAAGACCCACTGCTTCATCGCCCCGGCTTAGTCCAGGATGCCAGTTCACCCAACACTAGTTTAGAATATGTTAACTAGCTAAATAACCCTCATCTGCACACCATTCCCCCCCCTCTTATTTGGCAACCCCCCCTTTTTTTAAAAAAAGTGGGTTATTAAAACTATATAGAAGACAAACTGTATTCTTGAAGAAGGGGCTGGTATCCTTTTTACTCCTCAGCTGCTTGGACAATTTATGAGTGCCCTAAAGTTGAATATTATGCTCCCTTTCTGATGATACTGCCTACATGCATGAGCATGTAGGGTCAGAAATTCAATACAGCATCTAGAGCAGGGGCCCCCAACCTTTTTTCAAGTCACAACCTTTTTTCAAGTTACATGCAACACCCTTCTGCCACTTTTAATGGTTTGCATAAAAAATACTTTAAAGTTTTAAAAATAGGTTTGTAAATATTTGTAATATATTTTTTTAAAAAATCTATTTGCATAATTTAAAAAAAACAGTTTTTTATGGTTTGCATAAAAAGCCATTTTTAACAGGGAAAGTCATCCCTTCTCAGAAAGTAGAGACTTCTCCCCCCCCCCAAAGGGCCTGTTTCCCACATATACAGTAATTTTAATATCCTGCTCTGAAAGATGAAGGAGGAAATTATGTGACAAGAGGTACACATAAAGGACAACCTGGGGGACCCCCAGAAAACGCTTTGCAACCTTCTTGAGGGCCAAGACGCCCAGGTTGGGAAAGCAAAGGGACCCGGGGAGCAGGTGGTGTCCCTGTCTATCCCAGCTTGTTTTTGGCTGGACTAGTGTTAGATCCCTTGGGTTTCCGGAGAAAAATGTGTTTTCTCCATCACTGGCTACCTGATCTTTCTGACTACAGAGACGGGGGGTGGGTGTTCAACCTAGAATTCTCTGCTGTATCACTGAGATATGGTCTTGGGAGGAGCCCAGGACGGAGAGGCAGCAGCAAACACAGGGGATTGGTAATATCATCTCACAAAAACTTCCCAGACATGGTCTCTAGCGTCCTAAAGATGGCTTCCCTGTCACTGAGCTGTCACGGAACAGTTCGCCAGCTGTCCCATTTTGGCGCAAGAAGGAGTCCCTTTACCCCAGTGTCCTTCGGAGCTTTCGTTGTTCCACGGATATAATATATGGATCTTTAGATCTGTTTCTTTGCCGCCTGGTCGCCGGTGCTCTCCGAGCGTTGCAGAAAACAGGGGCTTAAAACTGTAAAAGTGTAGTCAAACAAGGCATAGTCTAGATGAAAGAAAGCAGCCCTGGAATAAAGCCAGAGGAATTGCCACATTCCTCTGCAGAAATGGATGGAAAAACCCTAGTCACAAAGGCTTCAAACTCTGTCCATTGGCCACCATCTTCTTTGCATTGAATGCAAATAGTTCTGAGCTGGAAGAAGTAAGAACAATTTATTTTTATTTATTTATTTATTGGATTTTTACCCTGCCCCTCTTGACCATGTCTACTCGGGACAGCTTACAAAATAAAACGGATCAGTATAAAAATATATATATATAATCATAAAAATTACAATTGCAGGTTCAATTAGAACAATTAATTTAAGGAAGGATTACCAGGATGGAATAACATAAGAAAGGAAAAATAAGAGAGATTTAGTTGACTGGAGGGAAGGCCTGCTTGAATAAGTAAGTTTTTAACTGGCTTTTAAAAACAGTTGACCTGCAAGGTTTTAAGGGCAGCCTAGAAGGTTCGAGATTTTTTCTCCCCCACACCAATTAAAAATGGATGCTAGCACACGGACTGATCAAAGCATGTTTCCTGTCCCGCGTCCAGCATCCAAGCACCTAGACTGGCCGCTCGCCATTCCCCGATGACCAGGACAGAAAGAAGCCTGCAGGCCACCTGCTTCTGTCCATTAAGCAAAAGGATTTGTTGTGTCCCTTCTGATTTTCACAGACTGGGGAGATGGAGGCTGGGCTGCTTAGTTTAGAAACATGTTGAGCGAATTTCGAATTTCGTGCATGGCGTTTCCTTGTGAATTGACACTTGGATAAGTGGAAGAGAAGGTTCGGGTCAAATTCGGGTCTGGAGAGGGGATGTCCTAGTCAATCCCACCACCGCCAGGATGCGTGTGATGTAGACAGGGTGCAAAAACAGTCCACATTTGTGATTAGCCGTACCCAAGCGCCACATCTTTCTGTCATGTATGAGGCCTTCAATGTAGACCTAATTTAAAAATAAATAAATATCTGAAATATGAGTGCAATCTGAAATGCTTTAATTGCAAGTACTGTACTCTAGAGGAAAGACTGTAGGGAAATGAAGATAGTTGTTTTCAGAAAACAGAAAAGTAGCTGTAGGGTTAAAACCATGAAGACCTTTGTAATTAGTTTGCTAAGCTTTCAAGAAGTATATTTTTGAGATTTTCAAGAAAAGTTTGGCTAGACATTGCAAATGATTTCTTATTTGGGACACCCTGCCACAGAATTAAGATGGACGAGGTGAACTAGTTCAGTCTGGCATTCGACAGGTATAATCCTGAGCTTTTTCTTTTCTTTCTTTTTCCTTTCTTAGGATGATGAAGTTGTCCTTCAGTGTTCAGCCACGATCTTGAAGGAACAGCTGAAGTTATGTCTCGCTTCCGAAGGCTTTGGGAACCGGTTGTGTTATCTGGAACCTACATCTAACGCTCAGGTACCGTCTGAGGAAAAGGAGACTGGGAAGGCTATATAACGGCTTATTCCTTGGGTGGAATGGCTAGCGTTTATTGAGACATTACAGATTGGGTTGGTGTGGTCTTCTACATCAGAATACTGACCCTGTAAATGCAAGAAATGGCTGTGTCAAACTCTGGCTGGTAATTAACCCGAAGAAAATCTTAACAGCTTATTTGGAATTCTTCCATTTTGAAGGCTGTCCCTGGGATTAATCTCCATTCATTTTCAGTAGCCTCACTTCTGGACAAAAATAATCCAATTATCTTAACATTTTAATTGGCCTTTAATTTTATCTATATTTTATATATGCCCATAGTTTAAAATCATGCAGCACCCTGATACAAATAAAGAAAGAAGACAAATATTCATGGTTTAGCCTCAGTTTATCAATCAGATGTTTAGTCCCAAATCTGAGTAGATTTATGGATGGGAATTTGGTAATACAATGCTTATGCGAGTTACGCTGAATCCATGGGTCTCTTCTACCTCAGGCTAACATTGTATTTCATCCATAGGCTTCTATTGCTTCCGGTTTACCTTGGTTGCCGTGATATAAGAGTGCCTGCCATTAGGGGTGTAAGGAGAAGAGGAAAGAGGTGGCTTTGGGCTGCTTGGCCATGAGATTTGGAAACAAAACTCTTATGTGTTGTTGAATATATTTTTGCATCTGCATTCTGACACCATATTTACTCCAGGAGTAAAAATCCTGCCATCATACTAGACTTTAAACAAATTTTATTTGTTTACATTAATAATCCCATTAAATTCCTAATTTACAGTATCATGAACTTCTTAACTCTTAGAGCAATACAACAAGGGAACCCATCCAATGCTAGAGGACTTAAGAGAAAATTTGACCGCCCTCTGTCAGATCTCCTTTGACTTGCATTCTTGCCTTGAGCAGGGGGTTAGACTCGATGGGCTTAGTGGCCCCTTCCAACTCCCATTATTCTACAATTGTATGAATTTTCGTGCGTACCTATGCTTCATCTACCATCTCCTGCCAGGTCCGGGATTTTTGTACACCACACTATGGAATTACCACCCCCTTCTTCAGGCAGGCTTTTAACAATCAAAACTGAGTCCCTGAATCCAGTTGAGTTTTTATAGTTTTAAATGTTTGTAATCACTCATTGTATTTTAATTGCTGTTATAGTTGAATTGTTTTTAAGGCATAATTTATTGTGTTTTTAATTCTACTCTTTTCACATGGTGAACTGCCTTATTGGAAGAAAGACAGCCTATAAATAAGAGAGAGAGAGAGACCCCTTTCGACCCCTTTCTTTAAAACACACACCGTCTATGTTCTCCCATCACACAGAAAGTCCCTCCGGATCTTGCAGTATGTTGCCTCATCCTGGAACAGTCCTTGTCTGTACGAGCCCTACAGGAGATGCTTGCCAACACTGTGGAGGTGGGTTCTGAGGTAGGACCTGGAGATGTTTTTCTCCTTGCATCGATTTTACAGGGGCGAAGGTTGCATTGGGAGGCATGTTATCATCTGTCTAGGATGAGACTATGAATGTTTTTCTCCTGTAATATTCGGAAGGGAGAATACATCCACCACACCTCTTAATACTACAGCTGGAAGCCAGGGAGATGGTTAGAAGTTTGGTGCTGAAAGGGTATAGGCAATAATGTTGATGTTCACAAGGTGAGGCTTGAAGAGTAAGTCCCTGTTTATTGACAAAAGTTTCTTCTACACTATGTCTTCGAAATCATCGCTCTTTCTTTTCAGTGGAAAATCCACATGATAATATGACCACTTTGTTGTGTTTTAGCATCTTCACCTGTGTTTTTTCAGGCCTCAATTGTGGTGGTTCCATCACCACCATCACTAAAACACAATTTCTTTGCCAGTCAGTCCAGGCAAAACAAGGGTTTTGAGGGCTAGTGTGCCTTTAATTGGTAGCTCCTTGTGGCTTTTCAGTGTCAGATGGAAATTGGTGATAGATTTCCCCTTAATCAAAAAGTGTCTGTTCCTTGCTGGGGAAGGAGTTAAGTTACTGGTTCCCCTTTAATATATTTGCCTTGCAAAATTGTCCTGCAGCAGTACCACAAAGATTCTAGTAAATTAAATCCCTTAAAAGGGAGCTTGTTACAGAAGTAAACAGAGCAAGAAGGAAACTTGTAATGGGTACATGGAGATTTTTGCAAAATGGAACTTACCTGTGAGGTCAAAAGATGAGCAGTTCGAATCCACGTGACGGAGGGAGCTCCCGTCGCTTGTCCCAGCTCCTGCCAACCTAGCAGTTCTAAAGCACATAACAAATGCGAGTAGATAAATAGGTACCACCACGGTGGGAAGGTCACAGCGTTCCGTGTCTAGTCGCGCTGGCCATGTGACCACGGAAGATTGTCTACGGACAAAACGTTGACTTGGAAACGGGGATGAACACCGCCCCCTAGATTCGGACAGGACTGGACTAAATGTCAAAGGGAACCTTTACCTTTACCTTAGTCTTGGATGATATGGTTGTGTGCACAATCTTCAATGTCATCCTCCTTCTGGTTGGCAGAGGAAAAGAGGTGCCTTAGCAGTGCTAAAGGGCTCTAGCCTGGAAGCAACCCATTCCCAACTTCTTACTGGACAGCTCATCCGCCTTTAACAATTTCCCAATAAGCAAGGAGTCAATCGGCCGAGCTTTCACGAGCGCTCCCATCTCTGTGCTGTAGAAAGCCTCCCTCTTCAATCCCTGCTTGTTTGGAAGCTGTTGAAGATAAAGAGTACCTGTCCGGTACCTGCCATATTCAGTGACAGAATATGGCTGTACCGTTAGGTCTGTTTCACCTTTTGGTTCACCTCGATGGCCGGTCCTTGAAAGTTCTCTGAGAAATAGGCTCTTAAGGGCCAGTGATTGAGGACCACGACATTCCTTGGGTTGCATAGGGATGGATGGAAGAGGGGCATGGGTGGGGCTCTGTGCCCTTAGGACAGTTGCTGAGATGACCGATGTCTCCCAGATACCCTGCTGTCCCTGTGTGTGTATATGGTTCATCTTTTCTTCCTCTTCTTTTCTTTGGCTTCTCAATTCGGCCGGCTGACCTTCTAGGGTCTTGACTTGGACAAGTGGGTAGGTTGCCGTCTTCGATGCTGTGATCCCATCACATCTTTCCTTTCTAAAATCCCTTTTTCCTGCCCTGTTTTGGTGTGTACATCCTTTCCTCCTCCTGGGGGTTTCCACCGCCCCAAATTTTCATCTATGAAAATATATGGTATTTTCATATATAAAAACAACCTCTAAAACTGAAGCCATTCCCATATATATTTAAGAACGTTCTTAATACTACACTAAATTTTTTAAAAAAATATCCAATGTGTGTTATAATTTTAAAAAAAGGGGGGGGGGTTACAAGAAAACCAGCTGCCAAGGATAACAAAAATAAATAGCAATCCATTGGAAACAACTTAATAAAATCCCAGGGCGACAGGTCACTTTCATAATTGGAGAACTTATGAGGGAATGTTTGAGGAAAGAAATAAACTTTTTGTTTACAGCAGAAACGCCCAACACAGGGAGCCTGCCAAATTTCATTGAAGAGATCATTCCACACGTGATCAGGGCCATGACAGAAAAAGACAGAAATAGAAATAGTATTAGAGAGGAAGGTTTGGTCTCCGCCATGGGTAAAGACGTTAGATCCCTTCTTAATTTCCAGCCTTCTCCTAAAACTCAAAAGTTCCTCTGAAACTAAAGCCATTCCCATTCTCAACCCTTATGAGAATCCCCTTAGTTGGTGGTTGTCCCATGCCCATGGGATGATGAAGGGGGGGGGCTCCATGCCAGGTTATTAGAGTGAGTAACGAAGTCAGGGAGTGAACAGCCCAGTTGCAGAGAACCAGTCTCTTATTTTACTAGCTTTGTTCCTGTACAGCCCATCAGAGTTGGAAATCTAGAAGTTCGATAGGCAGAGCTTTTCCTAACAAGGAGATCATGGTGGGTGGAGGGTTTTTTTTCCTCTCCCCCATTTTAGGGATGAGGGACTGGGCTTTTCTTAAAGGCACAGAGACCGGGCCAATGGATAGTGGTGGCACCCCCTCCGTGTTTCCCAACCTGGAGTGATCCAGGACTGCAACTCCCAGAAAGTTTGGCCAACACAAGTTAGTGGTGAAGGCTTCTGGGAGTTGCAGCCCAAGAACAGCATCTGGGGAGCCAAGCTTGGGAACCGGTGTATTTATGAAGGAAATGGAGGCCAAGGGTCAAAAAATGAGTCTTTCTCCTGAACCGCCAACTCCCCTATTCGTGGATCTGTGCTATACGATGTTGTTGACGTACCTCGTCCCACTCAGAGAGCTCACAATTAGCTTCCTTCTAACAAGGAGCATTATTTTATGAATGAAACGTCCTTGCTTGAGAGAAAAATTAATGAGATGATATGCAAAGAGGCTTCTTTCTTTCCCCTCTTGGTTGAAACCCGGTGGAACCCCCTTTTCTCCCCCTAAGTAATCCTGTCCTGCCCGTCACATCCTCCACTCCCCTTCGATTCCTCCATCCTTGGCTGTGGTTACCCCATTCCTCAACCCATTCCTCAACCCATTTCTCTGCATGGTTCCTACATGGGAACAAGGAGAACCCCTCTCACACGGGGGCGGGGGGGGTTATGTGTGAAGCTGGCGATGGAGTGCAGGCCCTGGTACCGTGAGATGCAGCCGTTGCAGGAAGGTGGGGGGTGGATTTGTTGAATATATTTGGTAAGGTGATTTTATAAGCTGATACGGATCTGCTCTGAGGACGACGGGCCTTCTCTCCAACCCACCCTTTTGGCCTCCCCTGGCTCTCTGAAAGTTTGGCTGCTTCCAAAGTGGTTTGGAGCCTCCTTTTGAAGGATCTCTGGAATGGTGACAGTCACCGAAGGAGAATAGTTAGAGAACTGGAATGGTCACATAATCGGACGTCAACGGAGATCATGCCCCCTCCCACGCCGCACTGGTTTATGGGAAAGACACCCATACAGTGTTGGGCTCAAAGCAACCGAACTTGGGATTAAACAGAATGATCTCCAGTGTGATACTGTGAAATGTGTGGTGTTCACGAATGTGATGAACTTCTGGGATTTGAGGTCAATCCAGTTCTCAGGGTTGCATAAATGGTCCAAATGCAAGGGAATGGCTGTATGTACTGCAGTAATTTCAGCTATAGCAGACTGATCCTGTTTACTGTAGTCATATGGACCATAGCTGGCCAGTTACGATGATGACGATTAAGGCCCATGCCGGTGCTATGAGCCTAACGTCTTCTGTCGTAACCATGCAAGGTCCCTTCCCAAACTCCATGCACACTATCGTGACTTGAGTTAATTGCTTTGAGGAATAAATTTATTAAATCATTGAGGTTCTCCTGGGATTTCCCCTGGATATACACCATTGTTGAAACTATCTCCTGCATTTATCTCCATTAGTGGTGAATGAATGATCCATTACAAAGAAACAAGGGAATCATCTCCCCCCCCCCGCCAAGGATGGTCCTCTGCACGAAACACAGTCTAGGGCCTCCTTTGAGGGTGGATGTTTTATCCCACATCTCAAGATGCGTGCTTAGGGGAAGCAAGATCAGAACATCACGGGAGCCTTCAAAAGCAACCTTTAATTATATTTAATCAGGAATTAAAATGAATGATGTTCTTTGTCTTTACACTTGAAGAATCAGCCTCCTCAGCTGTAAGAGAGGAACATGCCTCCAGCTTTAATTCGGAAAGATATAGTGTGCCTCAGCTCTCTGAAGTTTGGGAAAGACATTGCCATAAAGAAGATGGTGTGAAGCCGTGTTACAAGTATTTCTTACCGATCTCTGTTGCTATAATATGACTTTTGCATTAATCCATGTCACATGGACATGGTAGAAATGTAACCGAAGTGTTATGGCCATATTGATTGCAGTAATAGGAATTGTACAGATATGGCTTTCTTTTAAAAGTCACTTTTACTGCAAACATATGATGAGTGCAATGGGAATATTGTAGCAAAGGGCAGGTAAATATTGGCATGTTTACAATTCTGAGCAACCTGTAGCAGTGGCTGCCATATACTGTCTATGTTTTAGTGATAATGGCCTGTTGTGTCTACTCAACTCTATACAAGGGTGAATCGGGACCATGGTGGCTTTTAATTGTTGTGGGGAAAACATCTGAAGAAAAAATCACTTCAACTTATTGGTGTGCTGTGTAAAGAAATGATCTGTGTGGTTATGGGGAAGGGGAACACCCCTTTCTCGGCTTGTTGGATATAAACTGTAAGAGAAATGTGTTTGGAAATGTCTTTGGCAAACTGCTGCTGTTTTTTTTTTTTAACAGCAAAAACAGTGCATCTTTCTTGAGGGCTAGAAACCTGGTTTGGGTCCAGTATTTTTTGTCTGTAGGTTGTTATGGAAAGGGTTTTTTCTTTCCTGGGTCCTCCTAAGGCCAGTCAGCAAATGCTAATGACGTCCATTGCTTCTCTGCCATGTTCTCCATAGGAAGACCTTGCTCACAAGACGTTCTTTCATCTTTCCAGTAGCAGGAAAAGCCTCAGGAACATAGTATGGAAATGTAGGGCCATTTATCAAGCCGTTAACTTACCCTGAGGTGTGCCTGTAGCCCCTCGGTAAGCTGGCAGTTGCCTGGTTCTGCCAATGTGTTCACTCTAAATTTGATTTCAATGTTTGGCAGGGAGTTTCCCTCACCTTGTTTTGTGTCGACATCTCCTGCTCCTGGAGGACTCCATAAGAAAAAAAAAACAATAACCCATCCATATTTTGTTGGAATTTTATTTCTTTGGCATGTAGGTGGGTGGGGGGTTTCCATTGGGGGCCTGAGGTCCACAAAAATGGTATTAGGTAACTACTACCACAGATGGCCCTTTGCCCCCCCTCCCCGGCCTTAAAAGAAGGAATTAGCAGAGTCTTGTGGGTTGGGGGTGAAGGGCCTTCAGACCAGGCAAACTGTGGGTGGAATGGTCGAATTCGCAGACTGATTTGCTTTTCTCTTTTGCCTTCCTGTCCCCCAGTCTTCTCAAGGTGGCGGACACCGGACTCTGCTGTATGGACACGCCATTCTTCTCCGGCATTCCCACAGTGGCATGGTAAGGGGGGGGAAGGATTTCATGGTGGCTGTGGGCACCTTTCCAGGATGGGAAAAGACGGGAGGCTGCAGAAGAGGGGAGCGTGAGACTGCACAGGCTGATTCCCCCCCTCACGAGGTCGGGGACGGCGTTCAGCTGACTGCAGCGGGTCCATTTTGTGCTCGTGTCCTCATCCTTGAGCCAAGCAGATTCATTTTCCATTGCGTCATATGTCCTCGGCCTGGGATGCAGAAATTGCAAGGAATCCCAAACACAGTTGCAAGAGAGGTGGGCACAGTTACTCAGCCAAGAAGGTGTCAGACATCGAACAGGCTGATAGAGATTCTAGAAGCCACATGTCCGTTCTAAGTGAAGAATCTGAGGTCATTTCAGGGAGGGGTGAAGACGGCTGTCTTTTCCTTCTGTGACAACAAGGAAAGAGTGTGTGTGTGTGTGAGAGAGAGAGCAGGGAGGGGTGAAGACTGCTGTCTTTTCCTTCTGTAACAACAAGGAAAGAGTGTGTGTGTGTGTGTGAGAGAGAGAGAGAGAGAGGCAGGACTTTTGTGTGTGTGTGTGTTTGGAACATGGCCTTGATTGGCCACCCTTTCAGTCAAGGATGGCTTCCCATTACTGAGATTTACGGCTGAAATTATCGCTCAAGATATCCCTACACAATTTCATTTGACCAATAATAGCTCAGTATTAAATTACTGTTGCTGGTGGATGCTTCGGGAAGAACCTTAGAATTTCCTTGTTGAAATGAGCCCATGTCGTCAAGACTCCCCTGATCCTGCTTCTGAGGAATTCACAAGCATGCCGCGAAGCCCATAGGCAAGGCTGTTCCTTGTCTCCAGCTTCTGGTGAAATTATTTAGGGACTTAATTCTTCCTTATTTTGGTCACACTTTTCAAACATGAGAGATGTGTGAGAAAGCCCCGAACTTGTGGATTTCTCTCTCACCTGGTAGCAGGACAAGCTTGACTAAGAAAACCAGCTTTTGCCTCTCAGGGGAAGAAAACACCAAGAAGGTGAGCCGTATGATTATGAGGCTGGTGAGAACCGGGATCCGACTCAGCGGCCCTGGTTGAGCCCACCAAGATTGCACAGAACCCAGCAGGCTGTCCCTGACCGATAAAAGCCTACCTCATTGCTCTCAAAAACAAAGGAAGTCATGTGGCCGTTACACAATGCAAGTGTAGAAGAACGTGACACCTTGATTGGACGACTTTTTAAAAAAATCCACAAAATCTTGCATTCAGTGTTTTGTTGTTCTCAGTAGATCTTGCTGCTTGTGGGAACAGTTTACGAAATCAGGACTTGCTGGCAAGGGTGTGGTTAGCATTACACCTGAAGCTGGCTCCTAACAGGTCACTCTCAAGCAAGAGTGAGGAACTTTGAGCCTCAGCACCTGAGCCTTGTTTGTTAAGAGGATGATATTAAAATTTTAAGGGGCTATTTAAAGTGTAGAGTGGAGGGCTTGTTTCTCACTCATTTCAGGCCGAGAATGTCCCAGAACACTCCTTGACCCTTCTTGTATCCCCCTTTTTTCTTTTAAAGTATTTAAGCTGCCTAACCACATCCCGCTCCCTGACGGATAAACTTGCCTTTGATGTGGGCCTTCAAGAAGATGCAACAGGTATGAGGCCGTCTGAAAGAGAGAGAGAGAGAGAGAGAGAGAGAGAGAGAGAGGTGTAGAAAGCATAGACACAGAACATTCTTCCCATTTCATTCTGAATTCCCAGGGCAATTTATTGGTAACACCACTGTGTTGAATCTCAAGGGGAGTTTTCAAGACAGAGTTATCAATGGGTGAAATATTAGGAATTGTATTTCCATAATTAAAATCCTGTGCTAAGGAAAAGAAAGAATTCTGTGACCTGTGGAAATTGAGCAGATTTACATAACTTCCATTATATTCCCACCCACCCCCATTATAGTTTTGCATAATTTAATTTGCTGCTACGTTTGCTGGGAGGGGCAAGAAGTTATACAGAACATAAAAACTTCACTCTCTTACCACGAATTGTCTTATTCAGTGGTTTAGTCCTCTGGGCTAGTTCTACCAAGTTTTTCATACCTGCTCTCAAAGGTGTCCTTCACAGCTGTAAGGGCTTGAACCCTGCTCTTAAAAAGGGGGGGAGTGGGGTGGGCAGAGAAGACTCAAATTCTCTGCACACAGTAAACACTGCCTGGACCTTTTCAGTTTTTCTAGAGCACTGCCATCTACACAGAGCTCAANTTGCACACAGTAAACACTACCTGGACCTTTTCAGTGTTTCTAGAGAACTGCCATCTACATAGAGCTCAATATAGTGGACAAAACAAGTCAGAATGCCCCCCCCACACTCCCAGAGGGACTTTCTGAGCAAAATGTTTTGGTTCAAGTATATATATCTGTGCCTTTGTTCTCCAGGGGAAGCTTGTTGGTGGACCATCCACCCTGCCTCCAAGCAGCGATCGGAAGGAGAGAAAGTGCGTGTCGGTGATGACCTTATCCTTGTCAGCGTCTCCTCCGAGCGGTATCTGGTGAGTGAGCCTGTATCAGGTTGGGACGGACAATCGGTTTAGAGGAGCTGCCCCACGGACGTGTGTGTCTGTGCGCTTGCTTCAAGTCCATGGCCAACAATACTCTGGTGAGGAAGCTAAAGAATTTCCAGGTTATTAATACAGGCATTCACTACTTTTAAAGCTGTTGAATCATGTAGTTTTCTCAGTGAACCAATTAGGTAGAAACCCAGGCATTTTTTACATATTTGAAAGTAAAAGGGGCTGGATGCTTACTGTTTAATGAAATGAGAAAATTCATGGAAGGGTTGAGCCTGGGATTTTGAATACTGACCCTGAGAGATGAAACCCTATTAGGACCAGATTTTCATTTGAGGGCTCGATTAAATTCCTAGAGGCTTGCAAACCCCTTCGGGTTCCCCTGTCGCTGCTGGCTTTTCCTTTTCCTTCTCGTGTCTTGTTCCTCAGCCGTGTCCTTCCTTTTCCGTAGCACCTGTCTACAGCCAGTGGAGAACTCCAGGTGGATGCTTCTTTCATGCAGACGCTTTGGAACATGAACCCTATCTGCTCAGGCTGCGAAGAAGGTATGGGTTTTGTGAGGACATGGTGCGAGGGCAGCTGCAAGGGTGTCCCCTCACGGAAGCAAAGCATGTCTGGGTTGGGTCAGCGCTTGGGAGGGGGGAGACCGCTTGCACCCCTCTTTGAGCCCCCGTTGGGTTGAACGTGGGATATAAAATGCAATAAAATAAGAGAAATGAAATGTCCTCTGCTCACCTCCCTCCTCACGTGGGATCTTGTGAGGAAGGGAAGGGAGCCTTTATCCCTGAAGCCCTCTGGATTTCTCCAGAAGGTGCTGCTTTGGTTGTTTTCTGCTTTTGTACTTTTTCCTTTTTTGCCATTCTAAAAGGTGTTAAGACTGAACTATAAGAATGCTCATGGTGGAATTTGTGGCCCTGGGCTTTTGCCTCTGGTCCCCACCCCCACCCCCAGTGACATATGGCTCCAGAGGTTGACTTTGGCCTTCAAGCTGGAAGAGACCCCTCCCTACCCATGCTAGGGCAAGGACTCCCGAATCATTTCATTTCCTTTTTGCTGGGTGCCAGAATGTGACAGGAAAGAATGGCTGGTCATGCAGGAAGGCATGTGTCCCTCCTTGCATGTTAGGTCACGGATCCTTCCTCTCTTTCCTCTCCCTTCAGGGTGCGTCACTGGTGGCCATGTCATGCGCCTTTTCCACGGCCACATGGACGAATGCCTCACCATCTCCACTACAGATCAGAACGAAGAGCAGCGCAGGTGAAAAGCAAGAGGAAAAAGGAAGAGAAAGGGGAAATCCTTCCAGAGCTTCCTCGTCCAACAGTGTAGAAACAGGGCGGGGATGAGAGGGGGAACACAGGCAGGCTGCAAAAGACTGAAGCTTCTTGTCCTGACCTTCTTCTCGTCCTCCCTCTCTTTCTTTGCTTTTCTGCAGGGTGGTGAACTACGAAGGGGGAGCTGTCTGTTCCCAAGCTCGCTCGCTCTGGCGTCTGGAGCCCTTACGCATCAGGCATGGACAGCTTCCTCTGCTTCCTCTGCTCATGAAATGCTTCCCACCTCACCTTGTCTGTCTTCTCTCACACTCACACCCCTGCTTGCTACTAAGGTTCTGGAGCCCGTGAACAATGGCCCAGCCAGCTCGCCGTCCTTGGGGCTCCACGGCCGCCCCTCTGTGAACACAGCGTGTGCCTCACAGACCTGGGACTCTTTGCTGGGTCCCCATGCGGCAAACGCCTCACTTGGCCACTACACTGCCTTGTCCTTTCCTCCACCACGTCCCTGTTGGTGTGTGGGTGGTGGTGGTGGTGGTTCCTGCTCCCTGTCCAACTCGGTCGCCCAGTGGTTGGGCTGTCATGGACTGGGAGCCGGGCAGCTGTTATTACCATGTCCACCTACCATAATGTATCCATGTCGAGGGATTTTGGAAAAGAAATTTTTGAATCTTTGAGGGAAGGGGAATGAGACTCTCAACTCAGTCCTAATCCCAAATCTGCTGGGAATATGCTGTATTTCTCTTAACGAATACCTTTCAACCCCAACAGTTGGAGCGGCAGCCACATGAAATGGGGCCAGCTCAACTCAGTCCTAATCCCAACTCTGCTGGAAATATACTGTATTTCTCTTAATGAATACTTTTCGACCCCAACAGCTGGAGCGGCAGCCACATGAAATGGGGCCAGCCCTTCCGCGTCCGTCACGTCACCACCGGACGCTACCTGGCTTTGACCGAGGAGAAGGGGCTGGTGGTGGTGGATGCGGAGAAAGCCAACACCAAAGCCACCGCTTTTTGCTTCCGGGTCTCCAAGGTGAGAGGAGTCCCGCTGCCACTTTTCCAGAAGGTGGCTCCACGTTCTCTGAGGCTCGTTGTGCAAAAGAACTCTGAATAGCCAAGCAGCAGCTCTTGCCCGGTGGTGGTGAGGAGGGGCGTGGTTTGCAGGCACAGCCGACAGAAATACCCGATTCTTTCCCAGTTTCATCTTTGTGACAAGCTTCTCCTTATGAGCCTGCCCTCTGTTCCCACACTGTTCACCTCTTTCTCGCCCCTGCAGGAAAAGCTGGACGTGGCCCCAAAACGGGACGTGGAGGGGATGGGAGCCCCTGAGATCAAGTATGGCGAGTCTATGTGCTTCGTGCAGCACGTGGACAGCGGCCTCTGGGTGACCTATGCAGCCGCCGACGCCAAGGCACTGCGTCTGGGGCTGCTCAAAAGACGGGTGAGTCTCGGTGAGCTGGGCTGGCTGTTTTGGAGCCAGGTGTGAACCACCTGGGACAGCTCAGTTTTTTAAAAATTGCCCAAATTGCATAATTCCACCTGAGTCAGCTTCCTCTTTCCAGCTCCGTTGTTCCCAAAGGTCCCAACCTTCGGTCCCCAGAGGTTCTCGGACTGCAACCCCCGGAAGTCTTGGCCATTGGCTGTGCTGGCAAGGATTTTTTGGGAGTCCAAGAACCTCAGGGCTGGCCAAGGTCACCTAGAACATGCCCCCACTTACTTGTGTGGCCTTGAGCACATTGCATGGTTCCAGAAACACCGCCGGAAACAAGGACTGGTTAAAATAACTTCTGAGTCCCTGGCAGGGTTGTTGCCCTCAATGGGAATCCATTCTTGTTCTCTGCAGGCCATCTTGCATCAGGAGGGACACATGGACGACGCTCTCTCACTCACCCGCTGCCAGCATGAGGAGTCGCAAGCAGCTCGGATGATCTACAGCACATCCGGTCTTTACAACCAGTTTATCAAGTAGGTCTTGAGCAGATTCTACTCCGGGGAGAAAATCTTAGCCACTGGGGAACGGCCTGTTGTATTTCGGGCACTCCCCTGGCTTCCCACCCCCTCCCAGCCATGTTGGATCGACTGTGAAGTTATGGAATGTGCACAGACATTCCAGCAGTGATGCTGGAGAAAAGTCATTGTTGACATGTCATGAAGATGCACCGTGGTGCTGATAGGAAGGGAAGAGTCTGTATTGGGGGGGGGCAGGAGAGGGGCAAGTGAGTGACTGGCAGTGTTATATCAGCACTAGCAGTGGACCCATAACCTGTGCCTCCTCCTATTGACCTTGAATGCTGGCCTTGGGCTCCCTGTACTTAAAGTATGGAAAGGTGCAAGTCCAGTTCTGGCCATCTCTTAAATTAAAGGACAGCAGCCAGTGACCCCATTGTAATCTAGCCTATTCGGGAGCTGTCCAGGGTGCTGATGCAAAACAAGGCTGGCACATTGGACAGCTCTGAAACTACTGTAAACTCAGAGTGGATTCACAGGATCTCTAGAATTGGCGTGTTGAGCCGCCACTGCGATGAGGGCCAAGACCACCACTTGAGACCCTTACAAACCTCTGGGGAAAAACCAAATCACCAGTCCTAGTCAGAGCACTAGCTGGACTTATGGTGCCTTCCTCCCTGGATCCACTGGGAGGTGTGAACCAGTGACGGTGGAAGGCAAGGCATTTCCTGGGCAATGGGGAGCATGATGTAAATCCAGCCTTTGAATTTCCTGCCACCCAGAGAGAGGAGTGGCTCTGCCGGGTCTCCACCACTTGGTTCAGCCCTGCTCTTCTCTCTCCACCCTCCAGGGGCCTGGACACCCTCAGCGGGAAAGTGAAGTCGAGCACCCCGGTGACCCTGCCCATCGACGGGATGATTCTTAGCTTGCAGGACCTGATCAACTACTTCCAGCACCCGGAGGAAGAGCTGCAGCACGAGGAGAAACAGACCAAGCTCCGCTCGCTCAAAAACCGGCAAAACCTCTTCCAGGAGGAGGTAAACGATGGGGCCAAAAAACCCAGGAGGGCCTTTTTAGCCTTCCTACTTGCCCTGAGTGCTAGCTCAGGGTTGTTTCTCTTCTGGTCTTTCCTTTCCTTTTCTGTTGGGTCTGTTCTCCTCATTCTGATCGGCTGTGGTTTCACCTTTCCTTTTTTTTTTCATATGCTATTTGCTGATTATTTATTTATTTGTTTATTTGCTTTTTCCATTTTTTTCAGAAATCCTATATGGGTCTAATGGGATATTTTAACTCCAGGTGGTAAATGGCTCTGCTTTCTTTGGAGGCGGGAGGCCTCCTTCTATTGATTTTACAATAAATAAGTAAATAAGCAAAGTAAACACCACCTGTCGCTCTGCTCTTGTTATTTAACTTTGGGTAAGAGACTGAGGTGGTCACCAGAGTATAAATCTGAAGCAGGCAGGATGCGGGGTAAGGATCTGTTAATCCTTTCTCACCCCACCCCCACCCTTCTGCTTTCAAAAAACCCACCTATTGCTGCATTTCAAAGGTCATGCTTTCTGGGTTGGAGGACGGAGGGGCTGTGATCCCTGAGCATCTTCTGCTGGTTTTTGCAGGGCATGATCACCCTCGTTCTCAACTGCATCGACCGTCTCAACGTCTACAGCACGGCTGCTCACTTTGCTGAATATGCCGGGGAGGAAGCGGCTGAGTCCTGGAAGGAGATTGTCAACTTGCTCTACGAGCTTCTTGGTACGGAGGCCCGGAGCAGGGTTCTAGTCAAACCACCACCGCCACCAGTGTCCAATTTGAGCCTCCCAGAAGCTCCTGAAGTGCTCCTATAAGTGAAGGGCGGGGTGCTCGTAGAATTAGGGAAGCCAAAAAGCTCAACCCGCTGGGGGTACTGATTTAAAAGTTTTGATTCAGCCTGGCTGTTGGTTCTAACTATATCTTGAGTTTTGAATGAGTGGGTTATGCAGATCCCACGTGGGTTTTAGGACAGCATAGGGTCATGCCATGGGGGTCTGTAGGTTTGAATCCTCCATGAAGTGACCTGTTCACACCTGTCAGTGTCAAGTACAGCTCCTCCTCCTGCTGCTGCTATTGTCCCGGTAAAGGTGCCAGCAGGTACTTGGGCAAAGCCACACAGGTTCTCCCTCTGTGGAAGAGAGTCCTCCCACTCGCCCCAGAGGTGTCGTTCTGCAAACTCTCTTGCACGGGGTCTACTTCAGTGGAAGGGACTTCGCTTGGTCCCAGTCCTGCTTGCTTCAAGGTCATAAGGCTTTTGTTAGAGCTCTTAGGTCCGTGAACATTTTTTGCTTACCCAAAGCATACCTGGCTCGTTGTTCTTAACTTCTTGATTTACTCAGGAGTGTTGTCTGTGGTGTCAGCCTGTGCTTGATGCTTCCTCCAGACCCCAAAGACAGAACCTCCTGGCAGGTACCTCCCACTCTGCATGCTCTCCATGTAGGAGAGAGCCAGACCTGGGTGGAAAAGAAAATCAGCCTTGCTCCCCAGGCTTTTTTCTGGCAGAAAAGACAACCAGCTCCAGACACACAGCGTCCCCGGCCAGCTCCCTGTAGGGTTGGCCTTTCTGCAAACCACAAAGAAGGGTCCCTGAAGGGGAAAAACATGGGTCGCTTTGCCAGCTGGCCTTTTATGCCACCTGTGTGCAGGTGTACAAAGATGACGTCAGTCGCATCATCTTGTGCCACTCAATAGATGGCAATAACTGTTCCAGCTTCTGTTTTCTTTGTGCCCTGACAGCCTCCCTGATTCGTGGGAACCGTGCCAACTGTGCCCTTTTCTCCCATAATCTGGACTGGTTAGTCAGCAAGCTGGACCGACTGGAAGCCTCCTCTGGTGAGTAGGTTTTGACTGGCGGTGACTGGTAGACTGCATTTATATGTTAGCTTTATCTTTTAACGTGTTTTGTTGTTTTGGTTTGGTTTTTTGCAATGAGCTCCAGCTGGTGTACGTGGGTGGCTCTTTGTCCTCTCTCCAAAGCGATCCTGTGCGTTGGGTGAGGCTAGGAGAGACATAATAACCTGTGACCTTCAGGTGCCCGTCAGGAAAATGAACTGGAATTTCCCAAATCCCTGATCATCATTCATTCATGGCATCCCACGGCGTTCTCAGCCATAATGAGGAGTAAAAGTCCTTCCAGAGCTAATGGCTCCTAGTGCTGTTAGTTCAAGCAATAATTCCCTCCCTAATTGATTTCTTGGGGTGAGAGAAAAAAGAAACGACTGACAAACCACTGAGGAAGTGTGAGAAAGTTACAAATGGGGGGGAAAAACGTTGCATCTGAATGAAAGCTCCCCCTGTCTCTATGGCAGGAAAACCGGATAGGAAGGGGATCCCATCGGGCAGCTTCCTTGTAATTTTCCTAATGCCAACTGCTGGAATATTTGCAGAAACTGTAAAAAAAACTAACCATTAAGCTGCAGAGCTGGAAGGAACTTTATGGATCACTGAGTCCAGCCTTGGCCAAGGAGGTCCAGGGGGGAGCTGAACACATTGGGGCATTTATGGATGCTGTCGGGGAACACACATGAATGTTCTTCGCGACTAGCACGCTGTCTCTTTAAATGTGGCCTTGTTTCTTCAGGCATCTTGGAGGTTTTATACTGTGTGCTCATTGAAAGTCCCGAAGTGCTAAACATCATCCAGGAGAACCACATCAAGTCCATCATCTCACTGCTGGACAAACATGGACGCAACCATAAGGTAGGTTAAGATGGGCTTCTCCTCATCGGGTGCTCTCCTCCAAGCAGATTTGCAGCAAACTAGCATCCCCTGGTAAGAAGCATCCTCTTTACAAGATGTTGGATGCCGAGTGGTGTGTGAGATGAGGAGCATGCAGGGCCCTTCTGAGACAGACACTGAACCCAATGGAATACAAATTTACATGTCCTGCCCTTCTCCCAGAAATCTTTAGCTTCACATTAGGCGAAGGTAATGCAAGCTGGGTACTCAGTTTACCAACCTTGGGAAGGATGGAATGGTGACTGAACCTTGAGCTGGCTACCTGCGATTGAACCCTGGGTCGTGAGCAGAGTTTGGGCTGCAGTACTGCACTTTAACCTCTGCCCCCACAAGGCTCCTCAGACCTTTCCATTGGAGACTGAAGTGTGCTCCTGCTGATGCGCTCTACCTGAACTTAAATCCCTGCACTTGTTCCTTCCCATCTCGGCAGGTCTTGGATGTCCTCTGTTCTCTATGTGTCTGCAATGGGGTGGCTGTCCGCTCAAACCAAAACCTGATCACCGAGAACTTGCTCCCAGGGAGGGACTTGCTTTTGCAGACCAAACTTATCAACTACGTCACCAGGTTAGTATTTCTCTGTATTTTTGGCCCATCAGCCTTCTATAACGCAGACGCCTTCTGGGAGCAGAGAAAAACAAAGAATATGGATTTGGAACCATTTGATTGGCTTTCCAAAAAAAAAAAAAAACCCTCCGCTTTTATTTAGAAAAAAACAGACTTTCCTGCCTTTTTTCCCCTAGTTTCCAAGACATATGGCCCATGTCTGCTAAAATCTCAGGAGCCAGATGGAGAAAGGTTTCCTACTGGATAGAGTGCCCCTCTGTTTGATCAAAATAGCTGAAGTGTGGTTGCAAATATTGCAGAAAGAATTATGCACATTATACTGGTTTCCTCTTTGTGGCAGAATCCAGATTTCAGAGCATCTGTTTCTGTTTAGCCCAGGTGAACATCATCCACAGGACCTCTGAATAATAATTGTCATGTGCCATCAAGTCAATTCTCCTTCCCCTTCCTCTAATTCTGGTGATGCTTTTCTGTAGTCTAAACAAAAATGTATATAAAAAAGCCAGTTGTCCATGAAAGTAATGTGGAACTGCATTTTATTAAGGGAAATGGTTGGTGGAAAAGTATGTAGAAACGCATATTGGCTGAAAGGTGCTCCAAAATATATGCAGACTTCCATCTCATCTTTACGTGGTGGAAGCAAGTGCAGGAGAAGCAAACTTAAAGTCCGGAAAAAAGGAAACTGACACCCCTCCCCCTTCGGCCTGCTTTGTCTTCCCGTTTTCAACAGCATGCGCCCCAACATTTTTCTGGGCACCCACGAAGGCTCCACCCAGTACAAGAAGTGGTACTACGAGGTCATTGTGGACTACGTGGAACCATTTGTGACGGCGCAGGCCACCCATTTGCGCGTCGGCTGGGCCATGGCGGAGGGCTACAACCCCTACCCAGGGGGCGGGGAAGGCTGGGGAGGGAACGGCGTGGGAGACGACCTCTACTCCTTCGGCTTCGACGGGCTGCACCTGTGGTCAGGTAGGGAACCCACGTGCCGTGGTTGATGTAGGCACCAGGGAAGGCATGGCTCGGGGTGCCCGCCAGCTCCTTGGAGAAGCGTGGCCCGGCAATGTGAGGTGGAAGAAGGAAAAACGGGGAGAGGGGGGTTCCAAGAGATGAAAATGGTGTAACTCGGGCTGGCCAGTTCCAGAGCTTTGGGAAAGCTGCTTCTTCTTCACAGTGTCTGTGATTCACGCAAACTAATGGGTTGCTTCTGTACCCTTCCTTAGCCATCGGGGGGGGGGGGGGCCGC